GGAATTGTTTCTCAATGAGGGCTGTCTTTGCAGCAGAGGCAGAAACAGCTTCTCGGAGGCCACCAAAGCTAGAGCCGAAGTCCTTTAGGCGAGTTGAAGAATCCTCGATCTGTGCCAACAACTCTTCTTTGTCCAGGGTGAGTTGTTGAAGCGAGGCTTCGGCTTCTGCGCGCAAGAAGGCCTCTTCTCTGGAGAGAGCCTCGGCTTGATGAAGCTCGGCGCGCAAGTTTTCGGCTTCCAGAGTATTGTTTTGCATCTCAAGTTCTGCCAGGTGCTTCCGGGTTGCCTCATTTGTTTCTTCGGCAAGCTCCTTAGCTCGACGTTCCTGCAAAAGCTCGGTGGTCTGCACATCTAACTTAGCCTTCAACTCGGCCTGGGAGGCCAAAGCGAGGGCAAGGCGACGTCCCATATCAGTAGGTCGCTCGTCATCTCCATCACGGGAAGCATCAGGCTGAGGGGTTCCCCGTTGACTACCACCATGGGCAGCGAGCTTGGCCCGAGAGTATGCGGCTTCGTTGATAGCCATATCGCGTTGATGTTCTACTTCAGCAACCCGTTTGGATGCGATGGCTGCCTGTCGGTCCACAGTAGCCTGCATCTTGCTGAGGTCTGCTCTCATAGCCAAGAACGCCTCAACCAGCGGGCGATCCTCGTCACTGAGGGCCTCGTTAGCCCGGTCGTCTAGCGCGGGGCTACTGGTTGCGTTGGGGACATAGCCACATTTCCTTGCAAGTGCGAGTTCTGAGGCATACCAGGCATTCCGGGCCTTGGTAACCTCCAGTTCCTTTATCAACGCCTCTTGGTGGGGTGTAAGTCGAGGGGACCGTGGCTCATCACCAAGGGTCTTGGAGTTGCGGAAGTTTCGAGATTCCATTGAGCCCTCGACGCTAGTCTGCCGGCCAAGGATTGATTCCTCCCCGCTGTCCATGGAGCCACGCTGTCGATGAGATCGGAGCGACCGTTGTCGGCCAGGAGTACTGATCAACGGGGCTGCCTCGCCTGCTTCCATGGCCTTGGCTGATGGCTTTTGATGCTGTGTAGGAGTTCGGCGACCAGCTGATGGAGGTCCCTGGGAATCTTGTGGGCCTTCCTTCATGATTGGTGATTCTTCGCCGCCGTCGCCGTTTGCTGCACGAACATCAACCGTTGGTGTGTACCCTCGATCATTCTTGGTCGGGGTCTTGCTACGAGGGTTCGCACCGGCTGGAGGGCCATTGCCACGAGGGCCAGGAGAGGGTGCCTGTCCAGGAGGCGGTGGACCGGCGGGAGCTTGGGCAATTGATGCCCGTGGCAGTCTAGACCCCGGTCCCAGATTTGGGTTAGAGCCGAACTCCCCTGGCCTATTAACAGCCGTACCCTGTACCATGCTCTCACGCGATGGGGTCGGTCCCCGTCGCATTTGCTGTTCCGGGCCTGCGTTTTGTGCCTCCCGAGACGAGCGCCCGGATGAGATACCTGTTTTATCAACACTTGTGTTTCTAGCCGCTGGCTCAAGGGCGCGTCCCCCAGTTTGCGAATCATTGGGGTACCGGATTTTGCTAGTATCAAGGATGTAGGACATGCTAAGCTCCGCGGGGTCCCTAGGAGCCGAGCTTGGTTCTCCCGCCATAACAATGATCTGCTTGCCAAAAGCGGTCATACTGTGACCAGATCGAGGGGAGGGTGCAGGGCCCATGTTTTGGAAGGAGTACCAACGTCGAGTTGAGATGCGGAAGGCTGACAGGTCTCCCAGGTCCACACCTTCATCTGTGCGGCCTCCGAACACATACATCACATCATTGACCAAAGCCGCGGCATGGCCCTCCCTAGGAGCCGGGATAAATCCAACACAATCAATTTCGGTCCAGCTATTGGAAACGTAGTCATACGACCAGACATCATTGAACCACTGTACCCCATTCGTACCTCCAAACAGGTATAGTTTCTCGTTGAAGCTGACAATGGTGTGGTTTGTTCTCGCTGGAGGAATTTGGCCTGGTGGAGGTCCACCTTCGTGACTATTCGGGATCAAAACCTCCCATTTATTTGCTGGATTTTGCAGTTGGTTCAAGTCAAATGCAATCAAATCATTGAAAAAGAAGCCCTCTACTTGCCCTCCGAAGACGTAGAGTTTGGAACCTAGGATATTCAATGTGTGACCGTAACGCCCGGAGGGTCGAGAGCCGGGGGGGATAGCGCGGGACCATTGTCGGGAAGCTAAATAAAGAGGGTTAGAGTTATGGCAAACATGAATAGATCAATCCCACACTTACATGTATTCAAAAGGTACAGAGTGTCATCCAGGGAGTCATTCTCGTCAATTTTGGTATCACCGCCAAAGACAATGAACGCATTCCCTACGAGCAAACTGGCATGACCGACTCGAGGGCCAGGACCTTCTGAAACTGTCGCAACCTGCAGACAGTTCAAGCCACCGCCACTACTTTCAATCATCCACAAATCACCTTTGACGGTTGATCCATCGATCAGGCCTCCCATCATGTATATGTCTCCTTCCTTAGATGCCACTGAATTAATTGCTGCTCCATAGCGAGGAAATGGGTTCGTCTGGGGAGAAGAGAAGTTCAAACGGCGTTGCGACCATGGGTAAAGGGATGAACTGGGACTTGGAGGGGGGATCCCGTTGGGTGGTTGCTGGGATCTTTGCATCTGTCATAAACATTAGAGCTCTGTCCTCATCAAAGAGCGACCACTGGATCACAAAACAGGTACTCACCTGAGATTCCGAATCCGCTCTCTGCCGCGGCCGTACTGCATCTGGACTCGTTGGGCTTGTGGCCGAGTGGAGGGAGTTGCTGAAGCTACCGCTTGGTGTTGGCGTCTGGGAATTCATACCATCCCCCTTGACCCCATTCGCCATAGGCGATCCAGCGGATGGAGCACCTTCTGAAGTGTGGACATTTCTAGTCGCTGGAGGGAGTGCAGCCGACTGCTGATTCTGCTGGGCATGAGCCTTCTTCGATTTAAATAGAAAGGCCATCGTAATTATGTGGTCGTAGTCGGTCGTATCAGGGGATCTGGCGCAAGGTCAAGCGCCGAAGTGCGATCTCGATCCACCTGAAAATCAAAAGAATGGCGTCGTCCCGAGAAATGAGGTGGAAAATCTGAAGAGATAGGGGGGAGTTGTCTGTGAAGTGGGAACCAGGAACCACTAGGAACCATAAAACGTTCCATGCACAAGCCGCTCAGCGTTCCCCCAAAAAAATAAATATGGGCAGGGGGAAGCCTCTAAACAGAAGCATTCACACTAGGGACTCGAAAAATCAAAGCGGCTAAAGCCAAGACAAGAAAGGGGGAGGTGGTCGGAAATGTGAAGGAAAAGCGATGGACGCCGTTTCAATTTCCCGGAGATGCTCTAAGTCGAACTGGTCTTAGTTTCATTGGACGTGCATACTCAGGGGTATACTATTTACTCGAATTATTTAAAGATATTTCAACTCTTTTGATTTAAAATTTCAATGCTTGTCTATATATATACATTTATCTACCCCGTACTGCATACATTATACTATCTCATTCCTTTTTCCCAGTCTCTTTCTGCCAGCCTCCAGGAACCGAGGGGGTGGGTTTCACATTCCACTATGGAAATATCCACACGTCTCTAGTCTTCCTATGTGTTTCTATATTCAAAAAGAAGATAAGAAAAAGGGTTCATAACAATGTCGCAAAATCTTCAGAATATTCAACATTATATTCAAGGGTTTAAATACCGCCAGTTAACCCTAACTATCACACTATCACACTATCACACTTATATGCCGGGCCGAGGACATGGTCACAGTGCGAATAACTGCAGGTCCAATGATAATGTATCCTAACACTGCATTCCCCAATTCGACGATCCATACCTACCCCACAATGTACAGAAAATACCAATTGCTCAAAAGATCAAGACAGTACAACATTGTAACTAAGGCATGTGATCCTGAATGTCGACTCTGGAATACCTCAAAGTTAGATTGAAGCTGAAGGGAAAAGGGGTTCCCATGCCTATCAAAATAACACGGGCGATCTCTTGTCCCCGGGTTGTACGCCGTAGGGATGAACGTACATATTGACACTGACCTACAGAGTACCACTGCTATAATTTATTATCATTGGCTACCATATATCTGAGTATTGCTTTTAGTTTGTTGTGTTGTATAAAAATCGACATGTCAGATATTCGATGTCTATCCTACCTCCAGTGAAACCTTTAATGTCCCCTACGATCGTTGTCTTAGACATTTCCAACCATAAAGTATCTTCTTATTTTGAAGAAAAGGATTGCAAACTACGGAGTATGCTACTCCGTACGAATATACATACATAGCTGACTGGCAGGGCTTTCCTCCCAGCCATAGAGGTTGTCTTCATTTTAGTTATGTTGTACTCCATGATGTAATCAATCCCTATACCCCCGTATTGAAAGTTATACCAAGTAGATTCTGTGGCATGGATATATCGACTCTGCATGCAGTCAAATCTGTATTAGAACGAAAAGAACCATTGGCCTACAAGGTACTATGTAGTCACTTGTAGAATGATAGTTAGTTTATACTTCGTAAAATGCCAAGACATAATTCTGAGTAATCCCCGGAATATCTGTGTTTCCGCATAGCACCTCGCCTTTCCGAACCACATCCGCTCTAGACCAAGCAGATAAGCTCTCTTTGGTCCAGAATCCATAGGCTGTGCGCTGAGCTACCTCTGCGCTCCTGGAATATCTCCAGGGTAGTCGCAATCTCAGATTAGTCTGGTTACTACGAATCTCACCTCCAACGTCACCCGGGCCATTTCATCATCGGTCTCTTCCCCAGCTTCAGTTGATAACACCAAGACCCTCGCGAGCGAACCGAAGGAGGATATTACTAGTTGTGACCGGTGATCGACCGGGGATACTTGTGGCTTGCCTTGACATACGTTCCAGCCTTTCCTCTTCCCCTATACTTGGGTAACACAATGAACGATCATACAACATGAGGGATCCCACTACCGATATGGAACAAAATTCACAACAAATGACGAACGGGTCGACGGCCTCGCGTCGCAATCCGAATAAATCGGTCCGCGTTGCGTTTGGTCCCGATTTAGAGACCACGATTCCCACCCGCGAAAGATCTCCAGCTCCGTTGGGTGGCCATCAGCGTTCGCTCACAGCAGTTGAACACAAGCACCCCGCACTGACACCGCCAGGGCGCCCAACTAGTTCATCTGGAGAGAACAGCGCCATTGGAGATATCCCACCCCGCCGCCCATCACCTCGGCGATCGGAGAGTAGCCGACCGTCCATGATGAAGAGAGCCAAAAGTGACTATGGGCCAAGTCGGATAACCTTCGATAAAGTGGCGGGCGATGACGATGAAGATTTTGCTATGCGACATGGGTGGCAGGAGGAATATACTTCGAGCGAATATCTCAAGATCTTACATTCGGTGAGCATGACCATTCTGATTGTGAATTATCAAGGCTAACGAAATGCCCGCTCAATATAGAACTTCTACATGTATTTCACCGAGAAACGCCATGAGACGAACGGAATTCCCAGGGACCCTGTTGGGAGTTGGCCAAGTCAGGACTGGCGCATGAAAGATCGCCTGAAAACTGTGTCTGCGGCTTTGGCTATCTGTCTGAACATCGGAGTCGACCCTCCCGATGTGGTCAAGACCAACCCAACATCGAAGCTGGAATGCTGGGTAGACCCGACTTCTACCACAGGCGGTGGTCAAAACAAGATCATGGAACAGATCGGCAAGAAGCTACAGGAGCAATATGAGACTTTGAGTCTTCGGACAAGATACAAACAGTATCTGGATCCATCAGTTGACGAGACGAAGAAATTCTGTATCTCACTTCGGAGAAATGCCAAGGACGAGCGAGTGCTTCTACATTACAATGGACACGGAGTGCCGTTGCCAACTCAGTCGGGTGAAATCTGGGTCTTCAACAAGAATTATACCCAGTACATCCCTGTCCCACTATATGATCTACAGTCTTGGCTAGCTGGCCCTAGTCTGTTTGTCTTCGATGTTTCACATGCGGGCAACATTGTCCAAAATTTCCACACTTTCGTGGAAAAGCATGAGAAGGAGAACATTGAAACTAAGAAACGAGACCCGAATGCTGTCATTCAGAATTATGGTGACTGCATCCTCCTAGCTGCGTGCCAGAAGACTGAGTCCCTTCCGACCAACCCCGACCTTCCTGCGGACCTATTCACATGTTGCTTGACAACACCGATTGAAATAGCATTACGCTTTTTCATACTGCAGAACCCTCTACGCACCAACATTTCTATTGATGACTTCCGAGTCCCCGGTCGACTCCAAGATCGTCGAAGCCCTCTTGGAGAACTGAATTGGATATTCACTGCAATTACCGATACAATTGCATGGAACACCTTACCTCGGGCTTTGTTCAAGAAGCTCTTCCGGCAGGATCTAATGGTCGCCGCTCTTTTCCGCAACTTTTTGCTCAGCGAACGCATCATGCGCACATACAAATGCCATCCGATCTCTTCGCCTGAATTGCCAGACACACACCATCATCCGCTATGGAAAAGCTGGGACCTTGCCGTCGAAATGGTGTTATCTCAGCTACCTGCTCTTATTGATCAAGAAGAAGGGCGCCGGCAGTATGAGTACCAGCACTCAACATTCTTCGCTGAGCAACTCACTGCTTTTGAGGTATACCTCTCGTCCGGTCCTACCGAGAAGAATCCACCAGATCAGCTTCCCATTGTCCTCCAAGTCCTCCTGAGTCAAGCACACCGCTTGCGAGCCTTGATTCTTTTGAGCAAATTCCTGGATCTCGGCCCATGGGCTGTCCACCTTGCGCTCAGCATTGGCATCTTCCCCTATGTCGTCAAGTTGCTGCAATCAGCAGCCCAAGAATTGAAACCAGTTATGGTTTTCATATGGGCGAGAATCATGGCAGTCGATCACACTGTACAAAACGATCTACTCAAAGACAACGGCATCCACTACTTTATCTCAATCCTGAACCCTTCTTCCCCCATTCCTGTGGGAAATGCCAGCGAGCACCGCGCCATGTGTGCTTTCATAGTCTCGATCTTCTGCAAAAACTATCCCCAGGGACAGAACGTCTGCCTCTCTGGTGAATTGTTTGATTCGTGCCTCAGGCACCTTGGCGATGTGGAAAATCCCCTACTACGGCAGTGGTCTTGTCTGTGTCTCAGTATGCTCTGGTGCGATTTCCCCGAAGCCAAGTGGATGGGAATTCGATGCGCAGCCCCCGCTAGGCTCTGCGAGTTGAATTTCGACCCCGTACCCGAAGTTCGCGCTGCTATGCTTCACGCTGTGACTACGTTCTTGGGAATTCCAGATCTAACAGACCAAGTTGCACAAATCGAGGAGACCTTAGCACTTGCAGTCCTGCCCATGTCTGCCGATGGAAGTGTGGTTGTCAGAAAGGAGCTTCTAGTATTCTTCTCAACATTTGTCAGACGCCACCAGAACAAATTTTTGGTCGCAGCATTTGAGGAGCTTGAGGAAGAAAAGCGGTCCCTGTGTCATCGCTTGCAGAGCGAAACCTCTCAGACTAGCCGCTCCGAAGGGCAGATTGTAGCATTATGTTCTCAGACGAAACAGCCCCAGCTGTCTCGCAATACAACTTTCGGGACTATCTGGAAGCAGCTGCTGGCTCTCTCAGTTGACCCTCATCCGGACATCGCCCAGGATGCCGCCGTTATCGTTGATTATATCCACCTTGCCTTGTTGGAATCTCCAATGGCGCCACTCACTAACAAGCTTCAGAACGAGATTCTGGAAATCACAGGCTTGACGAAATTCCAGCCTCGCGAGCGAACCGAGGTAAAGAAAACTGCACCACCTTCAACGCCTCCATTGTCCGGAGCAGCAGCCTCAAAACAAGAAGGCTATCTTTCTTTGGGTTTCAGGAGAACTGCCAGCGTCGCTGCTTCCCTGAAGAACCTTGCTTTTGGCAATGCAGCAGCGGACCCATCCTCAGATAATTCGAACCCTCCTTCGCCTTCAGCCAGCCGTAAGACAATTACCCCACGCGGCCGGGCCCCTCCTGAATGGACCCGGCCCCCGGAAGTAAATGATCATGTTGCTCCCGCAACAGGATACAACCAGGCCCCGGTTCCCACGTCCCGAGGATTCCAACCCAAAGGCCTTGATATTATGCCAGTTATTCCCCTAAAGAGTCGATTCCTAGACTGGTCCACTGAGGTAATCCCGGATTTTGAATCCATCAAGTCCCGCAACCATTATTACATGCATTTACTCACCCTTTACAAGTATTTCCGGGAGCCCCAGATGAAACCAAACGAGCCGGATGAGCCTGGTAGCTCCGACTACAACCAGCGCCTCTGGAGACGCGGCCGCAACGAAAAGATTATTGCTGAGACTCAACCCCTCAAAGGGAAAGCCGGAGCGAGCCGATGGGATAACTCGGTTGCTTTGCTATCGAATGGTAGCCAGCCCCACAAGATGTGTTTCCATCAATTTGAGGATCACATTGCTGTCGCAGATGACCGGGATACAATTTCGTGAGTACTAATGAGTCACCTGCTCTTCGTGTTCTTCTAACTGTTGGTTTCGTATAGCATCTGGGACTGGCAGAGCCACAAACGCCTCAATCAATTCTCAAATGGCAACCCGGCTGGGTCAAAGATCAACGAGGTCCGATACATCAATGAGGATGACCAGGCACTGCTTATGACTGGATCTTCTGATGGTGTGATCAAACTTTTCCGTCATTACGAGACCAATACGGATATTGAAATAGTCACAGCCTTCAGAGCCCTCCCTGAACTGATTCCAAGCAATCGCAATGCAGGCCTTGTGCTTGATTGGCAGCAAGGTCAAGGCAAAGCTCTGGTTGCAGGTGATGTTAAGGTCATCCGCGTCTGGAATGCTGCTACTGAGGTGTGCACAAACGTAAGTCTTCAATGTCTGGTCTCACAAATCTATTGCGTTACTCACAAAAGTTTAATAACAGGATATTCCGGCACGATCGGGCTCCTGCATCACATCTTTGACGTCTGACCAAGTAGCGGGCAACATATTTGTTGCCGGTTTCGGTGATGGTGCTGTCAGAGTCTTCGATCAACGATTGAAGCCAACCACATCCATGGTCAAAGTTTGGCGCGAGCACAAGCAATGGATTACAAATGTCCATATGCAGCGCGGTGGTTTACGAGAACTGATATCAGGTGGCCGTAATGGTGAAGTCCGACTTTGGGATCTTCGCATGGATAGCCCGATTTCCACCATCTATGCCACCAAAGACACCCTACGGACCTTGAGTGTTCACGAACACGCTCCTGTGTTCAGCATGTACGTTCCTCCGCTGCACTACTTCGGTATTTTGTTCAAAGCTAACGTGTCGCAGGGGTACAAATCGCCACGAAGTCAAGACTTTCAATGTGGATGGCACATACCTTTCTACATTCGAGCCATACTCGAGCTTCCTTCATCACAACCGATCCTCGCCCATTGCCAGCACTGCCTTCCATCCCCACCGGACTGTGCTTGCCTGTGCCGCATTGAACGACCATCATGTAAACCTCGTGTCCTGCTAATTCCAACTCAGCTCCGAAATGCATGATATCTTCGCGTGGTGATCTTCATGTCATTGTTTCTTTTCTTGTCCTAATATTACCCTTTCTGTAATATGAATCCGCATACCCGACGAACAAATCTACCCGGCGTCTTAGCGACTGACTTGATCAACCATACATCGATGGCTCTGCTTTGTTAGATTTTGTTTCCTTGGGGTTGCTTCACTACCCTTTATTCTGACGATTCCTCTATCTATTCTTCTACTTTATGTGAGACTGAGTACCCAGGTTCGGGTCTATGAACTTCTTACCCCTCTTGTCTTCTATCTTCTATATTAAGCACAATATCTTGTTGTAATGAGTGCTAGCCTGATTGCCAGACGGAAGAATGTATAGTGCGTGAATACTGGTGCTCTACTCACTTTAGTAGAGCGAATACAGAGCACCAGAGAATGTCATATATTGACTAATAGTAGGTCTTGGCTCTATTATTGTTCTTCTCCTTCTTTCTGCGCTTGTTGGTGGCTCTAAAAAATTGCATTGATATTTTGGTATGATCTCAGGTCTTGACGGACATACTTCAGTTCGTTCGACAGAAGCTTGGCCACACACGCTGTAGTGTACCTACGTATTAGTGCTCATGCACAGGGCTATATTTATTTGGCATTACTTCTTTTTCTGCGTGCCACTCACATGCTGTCTCTACATACGGAAATTATCCAGCCCTCTATTTTTGGTTAATATCTAGGTATATCTCAGAAAAGCGAAGTTGAATGATTTGTAATCCAATTTAGGGTGGTTGTGTTTTTGTTTCGCTTTAATTTTAACATACTATCGTACTTTCTACTGCCACTTGCTCCTGGCTTCAGCTCTGGCGATTCGGGCACCCGAACAAGCATTCTTGACATATCAATCATATCTACAAAAGTGAAGCACTAGAGCGTAACACTCTTGAGAAAATATTGGGCGGCAAACATTTTCTCCAAACAGGAGATTACAAAGTTATTGAAATAACACCATTTCCGTCAGGGACTGGAAGACCTTTTGCCTTTAGCTTTTTGGTCCTCGCTCTCCTTCTCTTGGGGGTGAGATCTTTCCAACCCGTATACAAATATGAGTTTGGCACTAGAGGACTGTCCGGGGTCGCTTGATCAGCAATAACTTCAGCCACGGGCTCCTGGGCGATAGCCTCCTCTGGAACTGGCTCAGGGATGACCGCTTCTACCGGGGCAGGCTCGTCGGCAGGCTCAGGGACAGGCTCTTCTTCCGGAACAGGCTCTTCTTCCGGGACAGGCTCTTCTTCCGGGACAGCCTCTTCTTCGGGGACAGCCTCTTGTTCCGGGGCAGGCTCTTGTTCCGGGGCAGGCTCCTCAGAAGCTGCGTATATATAGCGACCTTCATAGAGAGGATGAGGTACATAAGCGAAATTCTTGTAAGAATTACCAGTCCATCCCATCGTACGAACATCACTTGCAGGAGACTCGACGGTATGCCAGGCACTGCGGGCTTGGACAGAGGAGTCAGGATGGTCATCAACCGCACTTTCGTCTGGGGTAAGAGGCAGCCCATTCACCACATCATCAGCCTCGGTGGAAGCAGGCCCCTCTGGCCATATAACGTGTTCTCCGGTGCTCGCATCGCTCGCTGCCACATACTCAGGCTCCGTGTCGCCCTCAACTTTAAGAGAATCCAAGTGCACTTTGTGGGTTTTCATGCACTGCTGTACTTGGCTAGAGAGGATGTCAATCACAGCCGCCATGAGTGCTGTGCCAAACAACTCGCTTTTCATGCCAGTGCCAGTGTTGGCAATTTCACGAATATTAGGCGGTGGATTTTCAGACACATATTCTTGTCGAAGGACTTTCTTGACATATTTTGGAAGCCAAATCTCGTCTTCGGGAAGTAAATAGAAGGCCGCCCTGGTTGAATTTATAAGTTCAACCGTCGTCATTGCTTTGCCGAAATATTCAATATATTTTTCGGCAAGTGTCTCTAGATCGGGAAGGCCGTACTTCCTGCATGTATGATAGACTTGGACGCTTCTTTGGTATTCCCGTTCTACGTAAGACAGGTGCTTAGGTAGTGGCGAGTCGATAGTCTCATAAGCACCTGTATACAAGAAATGCACCAATGTGTGGCTAATATCTTCGGGAACACAGGAAAGCAACATAATTTTGGATTTAAGCATATCTTCGAGGAGAGGATACCTCTGGAGATAGAAGGACGGGATGGTGTATTGCTTGGTTCCAATGAAGAAAGTGGCGGTTGGAAGTTCGTAGGGCCTATAACCAGTAAGTGTTAGGGGCTTTCAAACTCAGTCGATGGGGAAAACTCACGATGACAGTGGTTGATTGTATTCAACCTTTGGAAATCTCTGGCTTGAAGACTCAGCCTCCTCGCCCATTTGATCGTCAGAAATGTTGGCGCTCATCTTGGTATTCTTAGCAATGATGAAAGCCGTGGCTCAGAGAACAAATTTCATCAAAGTGAGACACTTTGACTCAATATTTGTAGCCGATGAAATTATAAAATGAGGGGAAAGCTATGCGTTGTTCATGTCCAGCGCATCGTGAGGCGAGTCATCATCTCATTGGTAGTATTCGTGCAGTGAGGCTGACCCCTGCAATCGCGATTTCCAAATGGACCACCAAAAGCCAATCTCCGTGAACCCTACACATAGGTAATATGCAGCACGCCGACTAGCACAATTTACGAGATTGAGGAACTGATAACCAAAACAAACTATTGTACTATAGGTTAATTAACCAGATTGTATGTGCGAGAGAGGGGAAGTGTGTTCAAATATATCCTCCCTTCTAGCCATTAACCTCCAACACAACACAAAGTGCACCATACCCGAGAGAAGAGCTGTGGACGAGCATCTGATATCACGTATGTAAAAAGTACTTCTCATTTATTTTCATTTGATGTATAATCGGGTAATCATATTCTACTGCAAAAATATGCACGTGACCACATTTGCCCTCATCTTGCATCCCAAACAAAACTGGTATACTAACACCTGACAACGTCAATTGTAATTTCAATCAGAAAACCCCATCTGAGCTGAAGAGATAGCAAAGAATGAATCGTCGCAAGTTATCCTTTTTAGTTTGTCATAGAAAATATTTTTGTGGATGTATATTTTCATGTGAAGGTGCTGAGAATCCCCGAAAGAATCCTAGAATAGCTTCAGCGAGGAGTGTAGGGATAGCTTAAGGTATATTGAAAAAGTGGAGCTCACTCTGAATAGCTTTATTATTACCTCATTTCGCTGAGAAAGATCCAGCCAATCAGATCCATAGAAATAAACAAAAGCAAGGATAAAAGGAAGTTAAGGACTAGGCATATAAGAGTCCCCAAGCCCCGTAGCTTAACGGTTGAGCCTGCATGTGCTTTACCTGCTTTTGGGAGGGGAAAGAGCTTGCAGGTTTAAAGCAGGGAATTGTCATTCATTCTCGGTAAGATAATTTCAACACCAGAACCCGCATTAAAAGTGACCCTCTCAACCAGGTAAAGCACATGCAGGCTCAACTCTGTGCGCGGGGGACCAGTATTATTATTATCATTAAAAAATATCCATAAGAATTAAGAAAGAGGTTCATGATGAATCTTTTGAAAGCTCCCAGCCACCTGACCATCTCTGTAGGAGGAGACACTTATGGTCTCTCTCCAGAGGTACTGGGATGTTTTCAACGCTAAACATTATCTATCATCCAGTCAAGTATTGCATGCCAAAAATGCCAGCCCCCTACGGAATCAGGACTAGCGTAGTTGACGTAGTCTTGACAGCTTCATCACCTATTTCTAGACAACCTACATCCAGGTTGTGTCGGAAGGATGGTACTTCAATTCGGACTGCAGTCAAACTGCTTCTTCTTACAGACACGAGGCTTCTTCTACAGGGATAAGTAGTCTATAAATATGGGCTTCTTGCAGAATGTTTGCATACTAAAGAATTCTGAATTGTTGTCTAATCCATGCTTCTTATAGTCTCTATACTGTACGACTTAACACAAGGTATTAAGATAAAAGGAAAAGGATATTGATATTGTTGGGTCATTCTCATAAAATAATAAAACCAAAGAAAAGCTAGGAATACAGCTCAGAAATTTTTCGTAATACCAGCCAAAGGTCAACTAGTAGTTTCGCTGGCTACCGAGGGATCCCTTCTCCTCAACTCTGGGGTCAAGCTTGTTCAATAGATCGGAGCCGTGGGGACCAGCGGTCTTTCCAGTCTTTGAGGTTTGCCCGTAGCTGCTGCCACCGGCTCCGTAGTTGTCGTTGGCGCCATATCCAGACTGTCCAGTGGAGTGGCCAGTGGTGCTACCGTAGTTGTCGCCTCCAGACACAGGCCTGCCGGAGCCATATCCAGACTGGCCAGTGGAGTGACCGGTGGAGCTACCGTAGTTGTCGCTACCGGACACAGGGTTGCTGGAGCCATATCCGGACTGTCCAGTGGAGCGGCCAGTGGTGCTGCCGTAGTTGTCACCACCAGACACAGTGTTACCGGAGCCATATCCGGACTGTCCAGTGGAGTGACCAGTAGAGCTACCATAGTTATCGCTACCGGACAGAGGGTTGCTGGAGCCATGGCCAGAGTGCCCGGTGGTGTTGCTAGACAGGGGGTTGGAGCCGTAGCCGGTCTGTCCGGTAGAGCGGCCAGTGGTACTGCCGTAGTTATCGCTACCAGACAGGGGGTTGCCGGACTCATAGCCAGACTGTCCAGTGGAGTGGCCAGTAGTGCCACTTGACAGAGGGTTGCTGGAGCCGTAGCCAGACTGTCCAGTAGAGTGGCTGGTGGTGTTGCTAGACAGGGGGTTGTGGGAGCCGTAGCCAGTCTGTCCAGAAGAGTGACCGGTGCTGGAGCCATAGCCCGTCTCTCCGGCAGAACGTCCAGTGGTGCTGCTACCGTAGGTGTCTCTGCCGCCAGACAAGGGGTTGCTGGAGCCGGTGGTTCCAGCATACTTTCCTCGGTTGTCGAGGTCACTGTCAACGCGAGGGTCGGCTTTGTTGGCTAGCTTAGAGTCATGGGGGCCAGCATTGACGTTGCTGGAGCCAGTGTTGGATGAGCCATATCCGCCAGCAGTGTTAGAACCATAGTTCCCAGATGTTCCCGAGCCGACATCAATTGGACCCTTGCGGGAGTCATGGATGGTTTCTGTGTTGTGGGCACCGTGGCCAGTGCTAGCACCAGTGTTGTAGCCTCCTGCACCGGTAGTGGGTGTGGTCTCATAGCCGGGGCCAGAGCCAGAGCCATAAGTGTTGGAGCCAGTGTTGGAGCCAGCGCCGGCAGATGTGTATTTGCTGTTGTCTGCGGTGTTGTGCGAGGATCCGTAGGTATCCCGGGTATCTATATGAATAGGCTAGTTAGCATCATAGTGTAATGTCTCTTTCCTAGGAACGACGAACCATCGAACTTGTTGTTGGATGTCTTGGAGGAGTCATGGGTAGTCTCCTTATCGTGATGGCCAGTTACGGCATCCTTGACCTTGTGAATAAAGCTTGACATGATGGAAGGTAATATGCTTTAATAGTAAAGTAAAAGATTTGAGAATAGTTTGAAATTAAAGTTTGAATGGTTTGTCCAAGTCAGATAGTTGCACGTTGATGGAAAAGTGAAGAGAAAGTGCTTCCAGTAGGGAGTTTATATATGCTTTAGTATCTTGCTTGTGATCAGATTATGAATAGATCCCTGCGGAGACTGAGTGACGCCATAACGCGGGGATCCACGAGTACAATCACCGGTGAAACATGGAAGAGCTCTTTGACTGTCCCATTTTCGGTTGTCATGACGTCCCGAACGGGTAGAAGCATACAGTTGAGTGTTCTTGGCTGAAAATGGGAGCTATCAATGTCATCCATCGTCATGTCCCAGATCTACAAGACCAAGAACGCCACTGAGAAAGCTCTTGCAAGGATAGCTTGTAGATCCATAGACCCGCATTCAGATTTCAGATATCATATTACATAAGTGGGATTCCGCAATTTGTGCCAACAATTCTCCGGGTTGGGCATTGTTTGTCCTGGGCCATCGAAACTTAGCTATCAGTTTCTTATGGCTTTTTGGGAATATTCCTGCAGTATCACTTGTACTTTTCACCCTTATTGAAGCCGTAGTAAACATATACAGGACAGACAAGCACATTCTAAAATGATTCCTCTAGTATACGCTAATCCCCTTTTGGGCCATGTACGTCATGGATATCCAAGTGTAGCTTTAAACGCTAATCCACATATGGTAAGTGGGGACAAGCCTTATCGATCGTCAAGTCCAAAAATATCTTGCTGGCGTGCCTTAATATATTATACGTAGAATGTATTACTGATTGGACCAGCTACTATAACTTACAGTCTACGATATAGGTATGCATACATTGATAATGCGATTCAAAAAATCAAAAAGGCGGTGGATTACGTAGCCGCCTGGTAGTGCCCAGGTGATGGCATGATCGGCGGTAGCTCTGGGTCGACCCTTGGAAGTATCAACTTTATATCAACTCAACAATATATGCCTGCTATTGCGAGATTTAAAGAGGGCCGAGCAACGTATCATGCCATGATGTTATTATATTGTGACATTATACGACTTACGGAACTTGTTAAGTGTCTGAATAACTAACTAATAGTTATGTACTTAGTTAAGTACGGAGTACTCCGCAGTGGAGTCTTTGTTTCAACGTATGTTGCATCTTTCGTTCTTTAAGCATCTGGTACTATAGATGAAGAGAAACTTGGAGTACAAGTGGCAATGGTAAGTAAGCCATTATTATAGCATGAAGCTCTAAGTTAGCTGCTATTCCAATGTTGTTTCCTTCCAATGTATGTTATACTTAAGGTCATGTGATTTGAAGCAAAGTCATTATCATGCCTCAGGCTTCCAACACATGACACGGCGACAATGCCGTCACCTGCCGACCCGGGGTTAGATAATCCATATCATGAGTTCACTTCTCCTTCTCCACCTGACTGACTTCACTTGAACCCCCCTCTGTCTCTTTGTCTCGTCTTTTTGTTCGCTTTGGATTCCCCTGCACTCGTGTTGGCTATCATTTGTCGACTTTTCTCAACCAGCCGTGGTGCTGCTCATTGCACTCGATGAGTGGCGGCCTGTTAGCTTGCCGCCAACCGTTGGATTGGTCATAAAGAGTCCATCCCGAAGTACTGTGGTACAGCGGAGCCGCTGGCATCGTCAGTCATTCACTCGATCCACCAGTCTTTGCTGCGATCAGACATCTCCGATCAAGCCGTTCAATTAAAGTGGTTTAAACCATCTATCAGACATGCGACCGCCACGCTTGCTTATTGTTCTCTTCTGCCTAATCTTCTTTCCGATCCTCCTCACCTTCTTTTCCGCGCTTACATCACCCGATGTAGCTTCTCCCAATACACTCGCTGGTGAGACAACTGGGCTGCGCGCTTTATTTTCTTTCAACATACCGTCGTCCCTTTTCCCTCCGTCGGCCATTATTAGTCTCACCGATGACAACTCGACCTTCTTCCTCGCCCGGCCAGCGGCATTTGGCCCGCTTCTGCCAACCAAAGGCCTCAGCGGTCAGTTATGGGTGGGAAGTGGATTTGGTGAAGGGGGATTAGCTGGCGTGGAAGGGGAACTGGGCTGCTCCGATATTCCCGGCTGGGGTGAGGGCGCCAACCATAAGAAACAAGACAAAACCACTAGGAGCGCGGAGCAGAGTTCCGGCATGTCCGGGGGTGGTACAGTGAAAGATCAATCATCAAATCGCCCGCGGTCGGTGTCGCAGGCCGATACTACACCTCAAAACGATAGAGATGATCCAAACACCCCACCCTTGACGAACGATGGCACCGATGATCATCTACATCATCCACTCCCTGAATCTGGTGCTTCTAACCCTGGCATGAGTCAGAGGTACGGGGATCACGTCCAAAGCAAGCCGTCTGCGCATGCCGACATACAATCACTACAAGAGACTGCCGAAATTCAGGGTAAGGTGGTGCTGTTGAGTCGAGGTGGCTGTGGGTTTTTGGAGAAGGCCAAGTGGGCACAACGACGGGGAGGTGTTGCTCTGATTGTTGGCGACGATACCCGAGGTGGCAACTTGGTCACTATGTACGCACGAGGCGATACATCGAACGTCACGATCCCGGCATTGTTCACTTCCCACACTACTGCTCATCTATTATCGTCATTGGTTCCTGGACATGCCAGTGGAACTGCCGGTTTAGGAGATGTATCAAAATCATCACAAGCGAAGCTGGCAGGACAAGCCGATGCCGACAAAGAACGGGTAATAAGTACTACAGCAACAACCATTCCAAGCCCGACTGCCAGCAGTCATTTGACAGCCAAAGAGAGACCTGCGCCTTCATATCACTCAAACGGCGGCTTTTTCCGTGCGATTGGTGCATTCCTAGGATTATGCGATAAGAATGGAGGTTCACGGCATCTGGAAGACAGCCGACGCCCGCCCAGTAGCGGCAACATTGACTGGATTAACCTAGGCTCATGGGATGAAAAAGAAGCCCCGTCGAATGCTTGGAGGAGATCAACAGATCCGAATGATCGTGGTCGGGCTAAGGAGGACACATACAACAGCCATAAAGCCGACATGTCCCCTGAAAGTTTTGAGGATGATGACTTTGTTATCGGGGTTCAGGACTGGAGAGATCCCGACCTAATGCCTCCTCGGAGTACCGCATCCCCGACAGCTAGCACCTCTATAGCTGGCAAGGATACCTCTAATACTGCCAGTGCGGATAAAGATGCTGCTTCCTCGCCTGATGGTCTTCAGGGTGGTAGCATTACACCAGGAAGTGGAGAATATCAGAGCATCGACAAATCCAGTGCTAGTTCTCATGGCACACGCCTGAAGGGATCTGAGAAAGAATCCTTCGGATCTCATGGGAAGTCTGGATCTTTTACGAAGGGCTGGTTTTCGAGTCACTTTGGATGGGGAGACGATACTCAGCAAGATCCTCAGCCTTCTTCGTCGCCCTCACTCCAGAAAAGCACAGCAGCAGACCAGAAGATGCAAAATAGCCCTCACACATCGAGCCGTCTCAGCGGGGAGACCTCTGAGCACGAGGGCCTTTGGGTTACCATGACACCCACTAGCATGTCCTCAAGCCCCTTTTTCGATACTCTATTGGTCCTTGTCGTCAGTCCTTTGCTGACGCTAACGGCTGTTTATGCCCTTTTGCTGCTCCGGTCTCGAATCCGCCGTCGTCGCTGGCGTGCCCCGAAGTCGGTTATCGAACGACTTCCTGTCCGGACTTACCACACAATTGCTACCTCTTCTTCCTCTTCTTCCAACTCAACACGCCCCCCTAGTCCCGGTCCTCTCTCTCCGACTTCCCCACTCCTTGGCAATGAAAGCCGGCCAAGCGCATCCCGGTCAAATAGATCACGTTCACAAACATTTTCGGGCACTATGCTAGACTCCTCTGTCGCGCCCAAGGAAGAGAAGTGCAATATGCAAAATGGGTCTACCTTGTGGCGACGCAAGTACACAGGAAGGCAGGTGGAGTGCGTTGTATGCCTTGAGGAATATATCGATGGTCTGAGCCGGGTCATGAGATTGCCATGTGGCCATGAATTCCATGTGGAATGCATGTATGTGATATGAAGAATTCGGTCTTTGTTTCAATATTTTACTAACCTCTTTTCTCAGTACCCCCTGGTTGACTACTCGTCGGCGAACTTGTCCGATCTGTAAAGGCGATGTTGTCCGTTCATTAGGCCATTCTCAACCCGATGATTCCCAGGGTCATCGTGATCATTCCAATGATGACTTCCACTCCACCCAGCCAATGTCTCGAGGCAGCGCATCTTCGGCTCCAGTGCAGATTGAAGGCGTCAATGAGGATCCCTCAGATAGGGAACAGAATGCAGGTCTACTTGACCATGCCAATTCTGCCCCACAGTCAAGCTGGCGAAATCTAGCTACTCTTAGCTTTTCTGCTCTGAGTGGCGATACGATATGGCACCAGGCTCGCGCTGACCGTAATCGCTAACATCTATATTCTATCCACTCTTTTCATTTTATTTTTTCCACCTCCCCTTATCTCTGGGATTTGCTCTCCTTGTATTGAAGCATGCTGTATTAGCGATGGTTTTGATTTTTTTATGACTTAATCTCGGCGTTGGGCGAGAACAGTTCGGGGCGGTTGCAAAGTGTCATCGTTGAAGCGACTAGGATATACCGTGGGTCAATCGTTTCAAAACTTGTATGTTATTTTTTTTTGGTAGGAATACCTGAATGGATTCCTTTGTCACTTGACTGTTACTATATTCTTTTCATTCCTAAATAACCACAAAGATTTTGAAGAAGTGGAATCTGTTTAGAATCCAGCCTCATTCTTTCTCAACATAAACATTCCCAGCAATATCCCCAAACACATCAAGTGTATGGACCAATCGATCACGCACCAATTCAATACGAGGAATCATATCCCGACCTAAAGGCAAGAACTCCTCATTCTCACGTCCAACACCAACACCCTCCCCAACAACAACTTCATAAATCGCCTTGGCAGCCTTATCCTTGTCACCATCAGCCACAAACTTCCCACTCTGTATAGCGTCCATCATCTTCGTAGCCACGGAGTCAACATAATCCACCGGCAAAGGATTAACAGGAGAACGACAACCAGCCCCAAACTGCGTATTAAACACACCCAACCACACCGTCAAAAAACGGACATTGAATGGCGCGACTTCTTTAGCAAGCACTTTACACAAACCTACACACACATCAACACACGTGAATAAATGACTCTAGAGAACCCCTCAGAAGGAAATATAAAGAAGAGAACATACCATCCATAGCAGCCTTCGCCGCCGCATAAGCACCCATCCTCTCTCTCCCCTCCAACCCAGCCCCAGAACTAACATTAACAACAATACCAAACCGTCTCTCACGCATCCCAGGCACAATAGCCCTGATCAACCGACTCGGTCCGAAATACACCGTCTCCATCTGCGCCCGCACCTCCTCGTCCGAGAACTGCTCTACAGCACCCAGGATCGCGTATCCGGCATTATTGACCAGTACGTCGATCTTGTGTCCTGCGGACTCGAGCGTGGAGAGTAGCTCGGCAGCTGCGGTTGCGTTGTCAACGTCTAGCGTGTGCCATTCGCCGCCGTTTTGGGTTATCTCTGATACTAGTTCTGGGGTGCGGGAGGGTTGGCGGGAGGTTGCGATTACTTTGTGGCCGTTGGACTGGACGGCGCGGGCCAGTGAGAGGCCTAGGCCTGAGGAACAGCCTGTTATCAACCAGGTTAGGGGACGGTTGGGTTTTGTGTAGGTTGCGGTCATGGTCGTTGCGGCCATGATTGGTTGTGATGGATGTTTGATGGTGAAGATTTGGCTTTTTGTCCTAATTGATTTTCAAGAGTAAGAGGACATATCATCAGGATATGACTGCTTTTATATCACTTTGTTGCTGCACGCCTCGGACTTTGGACGGATATAAGGTAGTCTGCATTCGGGGATAGCAAAGGAATTATGGCTGTAAAGAGTAAAGCCGGTGGTCAAGATGCAAATCTAATTGTCATTGTACACAATTAACCCTGGACAGCTAAAATACAAGGTCCCAGCACCACAATATGAACATGCAAGTCAAATACATACAAAGTGAATCCCGAAATGATAAATCAAAGAATCGAAAGTGATATGTTCAACACGATCCCGGTACACATGACAGGCTACAACCAAACCGCCGGAACGGTAAAGGCCGAAGCTTCTCACCTGGACAGCGGGGCATCTTCATCCCATTCTCACACGGGGTAAAGTCCCACCACTCCATCCATTCAGTGCGGGGGATCACATACTCTCGCTGACATACGGAGCAGAGCTGTCCACCTGCAATGCGCACTTCCCTCGCTTGTTGTAGCAAGGGCACGATCAGAGCCGGATACTCGGATAGCTCTTCGTCGGTGGTTTGCTCGAGGTAGGGAAGTTTGCTCACAGCGCGGAGGGCGACTTCGCGCAGGGACGGGGCATTATTTACAGATGTCAGTACTGACGGTGTGAGGGTACCTCTTTTGCCGGATGAGCTATCTTCAATGGGATTTCCCTCCATGTCCATGTAGGTGATTGGACCTGTTGCGACGTGGAGAGGGGCCCAGCCCTCGTTGGGAGAAGATTCCTGCTCTTGGAATTGGAGTGGAGGAGATGAATCTTCGTCATTTTCTGTTTCATCGTTCTCTGTTTCTTTTTCATTGTTCGGGTTGTAGTGCCATTCTGCGATCTGCGCTTCTTCAATTGGGATGAATGGATTTGGGCGTACGGTCAAGTGTTTCAATTCGCCTTGCTGCATAAGCCTGAGGATCTCCCAGGGAAAGTAAGACAATTGGTTGACGGAAAGGTTTAACACTTCCAGTGCTGTCAGTCTGCGGATTGTAGATGGGATTTCGGTCAACTTGTTGTTTCGCAGGCTGAGGACCTTGATGTTGCTGAGCTCGAAGAGATCGTTGTGAAGGTCTGATAGGGAGTTGTTGGGGAGGTATATGTGTAGAAAGGGCTGCAGAGATGTGAAGACGTTCTCAGAGACCGGGGCTTCCCTGACTGAAGGAAGCTTCGTTAGATGCTGTAGAGGTCGTAGAAGACCGGATGGGATAGTTCTGAGATGGAAGTCGCTGTATAGAAGAGCCATTAGTATCGTTGGCTCGGAAGGAATATCAGATGAAACCAGAACATCAGATGAAATCAAAACATACCCCAGATCAATGCTCTCATGTCCCTTATCAAGACAATCACTGACAACCTCCCGCGCAAACCGATGAGCATCAGACTCTTCAGGATTTCTAAACGCAACACGAGTCGGAGCAGGTGTGTTCTCCTCAATAAAAGGCGTAGAACTTCCAGATTTTCTAGGATCAAGTACAGACTTGCGCAAGTCTTCCCCCCACGTCGAGCCATCCTCCGACGCCAAAAGCGACTCAGCACCAGACTCATCACTCCCCATCCACACACCACTATCAACATTCCTCTTATCCTTGAAGTCCGCCCTCTTCCGCTTCGGATCTATCACCTGTTCCCCCCACCAGGTCCCCCTATACCGCCGTTTGCGACCTGCGCCCGACACCGTCGCATGGTAATTTTCCAGCCCAGAAGCCGGGATATCGTCACTAGAGAAGAGCGCAGGATCACTGGATGGCTGACTGGAACGGTCATCGAAGCGCGACAGTCGCTGCGCGCGCTGGAAGGAGAACGCCGTGCCTGCCGAGTGGTTCGGGGCGGGTGAGCGGTGCCGGATTCGCCGCGGCGGTGGGAGGGGGATCTCGCTGTCCATTGCGATATTTGTTCGCGGATTCAAACGAGACTCTTGTTCTCGACCTGGTTCATTGGGTTTATATTCACGGTTTTATCTGATGTTCGGGGTTGCGCGACGCGTTGTGGAGACCCGCGATGGATAGGTCAACAAACGCGCTAATGGCGCGATTGGGAAAGATAAGGGATTCAGATCGACTTGAATCAATTGGGAATCCTCTTATATCTAGAAGATAAAATCTTCCCCGGTTGAAATGGAAAACAGATCTGATCAAAAGATAAGATCAGATCACACGTGCACGGGCATCAGTTGACCCCGGAGCGAACGGCTTCCCCCCGCTCTGGAATGTTGGATCGGCATGATCTTCTCTATCATTCTACTACATTACTACTGGTGTTTACAGTTCAATTCGGTCAAGAGAGGAAAATAAGTGTCTATATTCTGTGGATGACTCCAAAGTTGACTCAAGCAAGTCCTGGATCTCAGACCAGTCTGACTAGTAAGTCACCCACGACAACGTATATGGACAAAAGAATTGAATGAAACAGGGGTTCAAGAAGAGAATAATAACAGCATCAACTCATATCGGTCCAAAAAAGTCATAATGAATAAAAATAGAAAAGGGGGTATTTGAAAAAGCGTTAAACCGGTTCCTCTCCGAATCTTCAGCTAACCGAGAGGAATAGAAATGTTGAAAGTATAAGGGGAAAAAGAAAGAAAAGCTCCCGGCGCTGCTGTGTATGAATGGCAATCGACAAGGCAGCCATAATGCAGTATGAATTGAGCGCGGTATTGACAATGGTCCCAATTCATGATCGTTGCCTGCATGAAGGCTTTCTTGTCGATCAATCGCGGCATTGCGAGTGTGATTACAGGGCTTGGCCCACCATCACAATGATATAGCCGGCGGCGGCCAAGGCAGCTGGCATGCCAGCGCCAATGTTAGCCGCTGCGCCGGTTGAGGTGACTGCTGCGGTAGCAGAAGTAGTGGAGGAGGCGTGAGACAGAGGCGTCGATGAAGCAGGGACGGTGGTCATGCTGCTAACGTTGGAACTCGAGGTGGAACTAGGAGTTGCAGTCACCGAGTTGACACGGACCAGCGTCTTGGTGATGGTTGTTGTTGAAGTTAAGGTGGTGGTCTCCTCTGCGGCGACGAATGGAGCCGCGACTAAGCAGAGGGAGGCGATGATGGCAGTGAACTTCATTTTGCGAATTGACTTGAAAGTGAATATCAAGAAGATCAAGGGGATTGGCAAGGTTTGTGATGAAACGGTTGATGCGCGAAGTATGAGTAGTTGGTATAGAGATGTTTCAGATTTGATCGCAAAAGAGTGAGCGTCAAAAATCTTCAAAGTATTCAATGTAAAGAATGTGTAGAGCACTGCTCAAATAGTATAAAAAGAGAGTGTATATGCGAGAGAAATCTCTAATGCGCCTAAGAGGGAAAAAGGGAAAGGGAAATTTTACAGGCAAAGTCCAGGGTTATTAACACGAGCATCTCCCACCTGGGGAAACAGGGCGATTCGTCCATCAAAGAAGTGCCGTGGCGCTTTTTGATTTATTTTTCTATTTTTTTCTTATTTTTCTTATATTATTTATTGATTTTTTAAATGAAATTTGATCATCTTATTGGCCCCTTGAATACCCGGACCCTGGGAACTATTCAATTGGGCTCCATCTCAAGAGCCCTAAAAACAAAGGGTTTCCCGCACAGACAATTGACGCCAGGGGAGTTTGTTATGTTTCTCGATCGATGTTGATTACGATTAATCTCTTAATTTCAATTTCAATTTCAATTGGGAAACATAATTCGCCTTCACTTGGCATAGCCTCGTGTCCCTCAGGTGCAGCTAATACGAGAACTCGCCTATGTATACTCCATAGGTGTAATTTCAGCACTTTCCAATCACAGTCTAGCTAATTTCCTTCATCACGAAACACTTGGTTAGTATTGTGTGTTTCCATAAGCGCCTTTGTTCACCCGAGTACTCTATGCTCTAGCCTTTCTTAAAGTGACTAATTTACCTACATTGTGCTGTTTTTGTCTTACCCCTGGTGATAAAGTGACGCTGAACATCACACACTACTGCAGGTGTTCATCCCTCACGGAGCCTTCCGTCGATTCCGGGCCCCCTGGCATCATGCGCAGGAACGATCTGTGCTAATCTTAATAACAATAACAGTGGAATATTTGGCTTTCTGGATCTTACATCTTACCTTGCAAAGTAATTCTTCCCCCATTAGCCGATATTGAAATTTACCTAATTTACCTAGTTCCCACACTATTGAGAAAAGACTTTTTTTTTTTTTCTATACTCTATAAGGTTCTGTAGATCACTTTCATAGTTCATTCAGGAACGAAAAACGAACTGATCAACGCTCGGACCTACTGTGTTGGGCATCTCTACTCCGTAGTGTAAGTCCATGTGGGGAGGAACGTTGAGTCATTCCATGTTCGCTCAAAGGTTATCTTCTGTCGTTGAGATTCTTAACAGCCTTATCTGGTAATAGGAACACGTTATTCTATGTGTTGGCATATGACACGTTGAATGAGGGGTCCTTTTTTCCAGGGGCTTTGCATTTGCTTTGGGCTCGTAAAGCCCTATGTCCGTATCCACTTTGAACACGAACCTCAATACTCCGTATGGAGTACAATACGATAACCTATGTATAGTTAGTTCCTTCGTTGTGTCGATCAATTGAAATTTTAAGATCAATCCACTCCATTAGGATTACTCCGAATATCTGTCCAAGGTCATTCGATCAGTAAAAAAGAAGGGGGCAATGGGAAAAGCAGAAAAGGGTCCTTCTAGCTTAGTGCTCAATCTACTTTTTGTTCAATGAGAATGCAGGTCCGGAATAGCCCAATACAAGGTCAAATAGACAGCGATTGGTTAGTTAACTAGTCAACGGTGATTTACTTGCCTGCCTGAGAATTAGGGCAACACGTTCGAGGCTGAGTGAGCCTCTACACTCACCTGGGCACGGGTTGCGCCCTGACACAACTTACCTACAATGGTTATATATAGCCTAGAGCGGGATAATTAGAGGCAAATTCTTGATGTAGGAGATGGATCTAATTAATCACCCACCGTCAACCACGCCACGCAGGCTCTGTGCAATTTCTAGGCTCATCTATGAAAACTTGGCAAAACCAAAGAGGCGAATGCCCTTCATGCATTGACTAATTTAGAGGCACCCAAATCCCACGCATTATTTCTGTCATAGGGTGGAAATAATAGATTGGGTGGTGTTCATTCGGCCTCTAATATAAATATATGCCTCGGAAATGGTAGTTTTTGAGATCCATATCATAAGCACTGGATGAGATATATATAGGTACAACCAGCTCATTGGTCCTTGGAATACTATGCTCTTAGTTACAACTGAGGCTGGTACACATTATGGTTATACCTGGATATATATGTCAGTTTATTGGTATACTATAGTCATGTAGTAGTCGATTCTATGGCGATCTTCAGCTGTATCCATATCTGATACGGATGAGGATGCCCTGGAACGAAACATACGATGTTTCTCGAGGAGAGTTCGCACGCCTATGGTACTGGGAGTTACTGCCAATCCCGCTTGGCTTTTAATGAAATGTGGTGATTCAGGTAAAGATTGTACATGTAGTATTAAAAGCTCGCATCAAAAACTGTCAATTTCATTAGTTGCATTCTAAATTACCTTCCCCACCCTCTCTCATCTCCAGCTATTCTAAATTTCTCGCCTACAATGAAGGCTTTCCAACTTTGATCCCACCAAACTGATTCTGCCAGAGGTTCTGATATCGTCCACCATCCTTCTTCAGCAGCTCCTGATGTGACCCGCTCTCCACAATCTGTCCCTCATGCACAACAAGGATGCGATCGGCGCTGCAAATAGTGGAAAGTCGATGAGCAATAACAAACGTCGTCCGCTTGGCTCTCAATCGGTCCAACGCAACCTGGATATCCGATTCCGTGTTCGAGTCTACGGCGCTCGTTGCTTCATCCAGCATAAGAATCGGCGATTTCTTTAGGAAAACTTGAGCAATGGCTATCCGCTGTAGCTCGCCACCAGACAACTTGACACCCTGCTCTCCGACTGTGGTGTTGTATCCGTCCACGAAAGTGAGAATTTTCTCGTGAATAGCTGCGGCGCGACATGCTTCGTGGATCTCTTCATCCGAGGCCGTGGGCCGGGCATATCGCAAATTCTCGATGATCGACGCGTTGAATAAAACAGGATCTTGTGGGACGACGCCGATATTCTGGCGTAATGAGCTGAGGGTTATGTCACGGATGTCTTGGCCGTCGATCTTGATTTGGCCCGAAGTGACGTCGTAAAGCCGGAGAAGAAGTCTAAGAATTGTTGTCTTTCCTGAACCGGTCATACCGACTAGTGCAACTGTTGTTCCAGGTTCGATACAAATATCCACATCCTTGAGGGTCTTTAACCGAGAATCATAGGCAAAGTCGACATGGTGGAATGAAACGCGGCCATCGCTGGATTTTAGTGGCATGGCATTCTCCTTGTCGTTGACGCTCGGCTTGGATTGGAAAAGGAAGAGTAGTCGCTCGGCATCAACTAGATCAGAGACAAGCCAGCGATATTGCGCGGAGAGATAGGCCAAAGGAGAGATAAGCGAGGACCAATACTGAATGAAGAAGACGAAGTCTCCTGTAGACGATCGTCCCACGGAGATCTCGTGTACGATGAGCGAAGATAGGCCAACAAAACAAATTGGCTTCAGTAAATCCAGGAGTGACTTGCCGATCGCTCGGCGTCGACCGAAACGAGCGCTAGCCTTTAAGCATAGGTCAACTGCTTCTCCAAAGCGAGACCTCTCGTAGGAAAACTGGTTGAAGTATGTGACAGTCTGCCAGCCTTGCACGGCCTGATGCATAATGCGAGCTTCGTTTCGCTGTGTTTGTGTAACTTCACGTCTGGCATCCATATTCCAGTTAGAGGTAAAGACCTCTGCCGCAATGTAAGCAATAGATACTACCACCACTAGAAGGGAGGCATAGGCATTGAACTTCAGATAAAAAACAATACACGCAATTGCCAAGTCTGCCACAGTCGGGATGATATCTAGAATGGCAACTTCTAACAGATTGTTCAGTGCTCCACCTTGATCGATAGACTTCATAACTTCTGCCGAGTCATTTTCGATATGAAAATCCATCGATAGATTCATGACATGGCTGAAGGCAGCATTGGTGATCTGGCGGTAAGAGAACTGTCTGATTGGAATCTTGACGAGCGACTCAATCAATCCGAGCCCAGCTCCGCCACGGATAAGTTGCAACAGCGCCCATTTTCCTAGTGAAGCATATGGGGTTTTGTTGGCAAAGATGCTATCGGTCACATCTGCAAGTTGCTGAGGAATGAGAATATTCAGGGCTCGGTGGCATATTAAACAGAAGATGCTGGTAGCAATACAAAGCTGCACTTGGCGATTTTTTCTGGGGACCAAATAGGGCAGAAAGATTGAGAAGCCTCTCAAATAATCCCACCAACCCCCAAGTGACTGCAACTTCTCATTGCGGAGTCTTTTCCTGCGTGTAGCTGCATCATTCTTATTTTTGCCGGTGTCAGAGTCGCTCTCGCTCTTGGAATCCACACTGCTATTATCCGAGTCGTTCCCATTCACTGCGCCATACGTTGTATGGTTACCATTTAGGAAAGGGCGCGATTCTTCCGATGTCTTCTTCTTCCTTTGTCTGGTTTCAGATAGAATCGCAGCTGTCACAAAGACTAGCAAGGCAAGCCGAGCCGCTGAGAATGTGATCTGCGTGATTGGTACCCACTGTCTCGGTTTGCGACACAAGGAGAGCGCAAGGAGTGGAACTTCGAAACCAGCGGTGACCAACGACGCTCCAGCCACTTCGTACTTGGAAGGATTTTGTCGTAGCCAGAGTGCACTCCATACAACCGCTTGAGAGGTCATATGCACAAGAAACGGCTGAGAGCTGTCCAAGTCATCGGTGGCAAATTTCAAAACTGTTTGACTGACATATGTGAAAATGATCAAGGCAGTCAAGATAACTCGTGGTCGACTGCGGCGCTTGCGAGTCTTTCTTTTCTTTACCGGATTAAATAAAATGCAGAGCACAATATAGAGACTTGCTATCAAAGTACAGCTATAATGAAGGGCCCGAGATGCTAGCTGAGTAGTCATGATGGGAGGTTGGGACGGGGGCTTTGAGGAAGACCT